CATGGCGTACATTAATGCATTCTGCTGTTATTTCAGTGTTCATAGTAACATTTTCTCATTTTCCTTCATACTGATCCCATACATTGCTTGTGAGGTTATTTCTAGATATTTATAGTATATTGTAATAAATAAAACTTTATTCTACCATATTATCTAGTATGATTAAGAAAAAACTGAATGTTTCTGAACATTTATACTCAACCATTTTATTTAACTCTTTTATTGGATATTTATTCACCTAATCAGTCAACATTTATTGAGTGCCTATCACATGCTAGGCATGTTTCTGTATGGGAGTGCTGGGAGGTACAGTCAGACACCACACAAATGTTATTAGGAAATACCTTTTGCTGTAACCCCCTCCTGCCCCCACAGCTTTGAAGTGAATGAAGCTTTTGTTTTTCACACAAAATGTGAAGTCCAGAGTAGGCTGTTCGGGGCTATCTTAGTGACTCCACAGAGCCGAGGTGGATTCACGAACTTTTGTTCTGTGTGTGCAGCAGGCACTGTCGGACCTCCGATGCTCCCGGCATTCTGTCTGTAGTCCGAGCAGGGAGGAGGGCGAGGGCAAAGGATGAGAGAAGCCTGAGAGCTGAGCCTGACCCCCACGCCCCTTCCAGCTCTCCTGGAGCCCCACCCGTGACTTGTACTTATATTCATTGGCCAGAACAGTGTCACATGGCCACATCCACTGGTTACATTACTGCTCTCCTCCAATCAGAATTCTCTTAGCAAGGAAGACAGGGAGGACTCTGAATAGGTGTCCAGCGGGCCTGCCATGAGAAAGACAAAATTCCTGCCCTTACAGAGATGTTCAAACAATTTATAGCTGAATGTCTTGGATTTTTCAACAACTCCGTCGTTCCTTGAATCCCTTCTCTACTCAATTTCCTACTCACTTCATCAGTGATCTTATTCGGTCTCATGGTTGCGAGCACAGTTACATGCTGGTGAGGTCCAATTTACGTTTCCAGCACAGTCCTCCCCCATGAACTACGGACGGAAAGAGCCAGCTGTCTACTGGGCGCCTCCACTTGGATATCTAGTGAGTATCAAATTCACGTAACCTGTCCACAGTGCACTTCACCGAAAGTGTCCTGCTGCGGCCTTCCTTCCCCGTGTCAGGAGATAACAATTTCATCCTCCTGGTTGCTTAGGCTAAAACCATCTTAAGACTCCCGTCTGTCTCACACCTTACATCCAGTACAGCGGAAAATCCTGTTGGGCTCTACTGTCACCTTCCAACGATATCCAGAAACCCACCACTTCTCACCATTTTAACCACTGACGTTCCGGTCCAAGCTCCGTTATTTTATGCCCACATTTCTGTGACAGCCTCCTACAGTCATTGTCCCCATAGGTGATCTGTCCTTAAAGTCAGCTCCCTGACACCCTCTTCTCTAATGATCTTATTAGACCTTATTGTCCTCTACCTCTGCTACTTACTCCTGTGAGTGATCGTTCCTTACCCTTTGTAATCGCCCAAAACTACAATCCCCAAAAACTGCAGTTTCCAAGTACCCTACTCATGACAGCTACTTTTCCATCCATTATGTCCTCTATTAACCCCATCTCACCTTCCTCCAACTCCATGAGTACCTGTAACCCATTAATCCTATACATTTTCACTGCCCACTCCCCCAATTCCCCTTACAGTTATTTTCTTCTTACTGAGCTTAAATTCCATGGTCAATACTTTCTCTGACCACATGCCCTCAGCTTCCCCGTATAGCACTCATTTGGCAAACTCCCAAACCCGAACTACCTCTTTGCATAATTGGGACCTGTGCCCACAGAGCTGATGAGGCTGCAGAAATCGTATAACCGATCCTACATTCGACTGGTCATTAACCTGGAGTGACACGGTCAATGCCGTCTGGAAATCACTGAAATACATCTGTTTCCCTAGGCTTTTCACTCTCTCACCCTTTTCTTACCTTTTCCTTCTCAAACCTCCAACTCTTCCCCCCCCCCCAATCTTTGGTCTCATTTGATGACGTGCCTTTTTATTTCAATGTGAAAAACAGAAACAATCCAAGGAGACCTTTCGTGAGCTCCCAACGCCATGTCCCATATACGGGATATGCCCATATATTCAATCACGCCTCTGCCTCTGTGCCCATATATTCAGTCACCCCTCTTGTTACTGTGGATGGATGAACTCTTTATATTCCTATCTTAGACCATCACTTGCGCACTGGATTCCATCTGAACTTGTCCACTCAGGGATATCATCTCAGTAATCCTCCTGTGTCAGATTTCCATATTTTACTGGATCACTCCCATTTGTGCGTATTATTATTTTTTTCTGATACACATCCACACAAATTGTCTCTGCACTCCTTTTCCCCCCTTCCAGCTTCTGTGCTATTCCTCTTCCTTTATTGCCAAAGCCCCTGAAAAAATGGTCGGTATTCATCATCTCCCACCTACCTCCTCCTACCCTCTCTTAAACCCCCTCCAGTAAGCCTCCCAGCCTTACCACTTATTGAAAACTTGTTAAGGTCAACAAAACACTTATCCTAGTCAGCACTGGTCATCTTTTACATCTCAATGAAAACCCACTGAGACATTTTTCCTGACTAGATCAACCCGCCTACTAAATGCTGCCACCATTTCACTGCTCGTGGTTGTAATTTTATAGTTTTATGTGATTCTTTAATTAAGGATACTTTTCTTCCTTAATAGATTCTAAGCTTCAGAAGGGCAGGAATAATGCCCATTTTTGTCAACTTGGGAGAAGGAGGCCCAGAGAAGTATAAAGATACCAGTTCAAAGGCACACCCCGAATTACTGGTAGGACAGGGATCAGGATTAGTTGAATACAGTGACCACCAAGCACCATGGTACATCCTGGGGTTAAAAGATAATCAGACATGCCCCTCCTCTCCTAACACAGGCCTTACGGAATCTCCACCATGTCAGGCTTTTTGCAATATCAAATCATTATGTGGTACAGCTGGAACTAATAAGATGGCATGTGAGGTATGTCCAGATAGTACCCAGTCATGTAATGTTAAAAATAGAGACATTTATTAAAGAAGATACAAGGTACAAGAAACATGGTACATAGGACAGTGATGCCTCAGTCCCCTTCAAAGCGGACACCTTGGGACCTCACACAGTTCTCCTAGTCGCCATCAGCTGCCCAGTTGTATTTTCCTGAATCTCATCAATGGTCTGGAATCTCTTCCCCCTTGTAGTTAATTTTAGTTTTGGGAAAAACTAGAAGTTGCTGGGCACCAGATCTGGGCTATGGGGGGTCTGAGTCACCTGGATGATTTGCTGTTTCACCAAAAAGCTCTGCATGAGACATGAGGCACCAATGGGTGCACTGTTGTGATAAAGCTGCCAATCAGCAGTTGTCCATAGCTGCAGCCTTCTGAGTCATCTGAATAGTTGGAGGAATGTTCAAGCTTAATGCAAAATTTGATGCAGATTCATTGCTCTACTAGCTCAGTCAATGCTAGGGCCACACAGTACACATACTCAACAACATCTACCACCCTCACTGACTAGTAAAGTTGTCATTATTCACACATGTGCATTCTAGTCCACTCTCCTTGGCTGCCAGGTCACATTGATGTTGCACAAACTGTTCTCACAATGTTAACAATGGCTGGACTTTTTCCAGACTGACCTTATATGCCAATTATATCTAAATTTTAAAGAAGCATTTATTTGAAATTACATTGCAGGCTTCAAAATAAAACTCTTCAGATGCTTGTCAGTCATTCATCACTGACCTACAAGTTATGAAACAGGAAAAAAACTGGGAGGAGTGAGCAGGATGATTGACTTCAAGTTACAACATTAAGACTCACTGGTAGTTGAAGACTAGCAAGCAAGCAAGAAAAAGCATTTCAGAAATGAAACCATTAGGGAAATAGAACTTGAGTAATAACACTTTTAAGGAACCTACTGCATTAAAAAGATTTATGGCCAACAGTTGGAAGGCTGCATACATTTTTGACTTTAAAAAATATATATATATATAAAATATATATATTAAAGATTTTTAATTTATTTATTTTTAGAGAGAGAAGGGAAGAGAGGGAGAAGGAGAGGGAGAGAAACATCTTTTTATTGATTACACTATTACAGTTGTTCCAACTTTCCCTCCTTGCCCCTTCTACCCAGTACCCCCCATTTCCTCCAGCTATCCCTCCCAGTTCATGTCCATGGGTCATGGATGTAAGTTCTTTGCCTTCTTCATTTCCTATACTGTTCTTAACATCCCTGTGTATTCTGTAACCAACAATTTGTACATCTTAATCCCTGAATGTTCCCCCCATTGCCCCCCTTCCCCCTCTCAGAAGGGCAAAGCGTGAGGCAGAACTGTCAGTAAACAGCCCAATTTACCTTTTTGTAAGTGACTTACTATTAAGGTGGTCATATGGTTTGTTATTCAAAATGGGGCACTTTGGAAATAAAAAGAGGCACTATTAAAATTGTGCCAGGACACTGAGTGCTTACCAGGACCGTTCCAGGCAAAAAAGCAGGATCCATCATTGTCTCAGTGACCATCCTCCACTTGTTACACACAGAGAAAACTAGCATCTCATACAGTCATACAAGTGACTCCGCTCGGCAGATCACACACAGCAGCTGCATGGACAAGACACCAACCCAGCCTATGCCCCATTAAATCATCTGTACCTTGAATGGCCATGCTAATACTTATCATCACCACTGACCAAAGCTAAAAAGTCACTTGCTTTATCTACTTGTCTTGCTCTTTCACATGTGATCTCTATTCAATCTTTAGGAAGGCCATTTCTATCCCAATCTGAAGTTTAATTCCAATACTTAAGAGAGAATAGACCTTTCTACGCTAAGTCAAAGATAAAGTCATTCTCCAAATTTCCAGAGGCACCCCTCTTCCCCCAAAGCACAGCTGCTTTATATGAAACTTGTACAGGTGTGTGCCACGCCTCCTTCAATCAAAGTGACTCCTAGGGCACTCACTGAAACATCAGAGCAAAAACAAGGTCGCTGGCCACAGAACTTTATTGAAATGATCAATACACTTATTCGCCTGAAAATGCTGTGAGCCATCCACTTGAGGGTTACAAACACATTGGGGCCTGTTTTATAGGTATATTTTTGCTTGGTTTGGCAGAGAAAATCATGAATCAAATGTAAAAAGCCTGATTTTTAAAAATCTATAAAAAGGAAGAATTAAACACTGTATAAGTCAAATCAAGAAGACAATTCCATACAAATCCAACAAGACAAATTAGCAAGTGGAAGTGAAGTAATCTCTTATACAAAATGCGAAAGGAGTCAAAGAAGGTGAATTACAAAAAATAAAATCTGAGTCAGAAAATCATCACTACATAAAGTCACACAGGGATGCCTACTAGTTGTTTTCTTTAAAGGGAACAGATATCAAACTCTTAGTTTTCTATGTCTTCAGAAAGAAAAATTAGGCAAGTGTTTGGAAAATACTTCTGATATTAAGTGAATTCTTTCTCATCTTCTACCTAGGAGTCACAAACCCTGACTCATTCCTGCCGACCTGTAGAAATGGGGAATGAAGTGTCTGGCCTTCGGCGGGACACTCACAACACCCGAATGAGGTCCAGCGTAATGCGAGATCGGGGGGCATCAATGTTGAGTACCTGCACTTCCACTCTTTCTCCCGGGCCCAGTCCAAGACTCCTTCTCTTCTTCGTTTTAGACAGTTTTGCTTCTGTTATATTCCGTATGGGAATCAGCCCTGCTGTCCCCACTCCTATATCCACAAAAATTCCAAATAAAGTGGCGTTCTCAACTTTGCCTGTAAGGACTGTCCCAACCTGCAGATCTTGCAAGCAGATGATGCTTCTCTTGAAATCGGGTTTAACAAAATCTACAAAACAAGGGGAAAAAGGAGAGTTGGTGTAAATAATAAGGCGGTGTGCTTCCCAGACACAACACACCTGAGTAAAGACTTACTGCATCCCAGTCATGTGCCCAGACCAGTGTCAAGCATTCAGGGGGGACACAAAGGAGCTGAAGACGCAGGCCTGCCTTCAGAGAAAACGCACCCTAGCTGGGGAAACGGCATTTACACAGTAAAAACAATTCAAGAACACTTACTCAGAGGCTTCCTTCTCCTTAAACTCCATCTCGGTCACATGTGAACATCAGCCCTATGTTAAGGACTCACTCTTATTTTCCTCTTTATGAGGAGGTGATTAGAAACTTTGTCCAATGAATACACAAGGCTAAATCAGAAACACTGACAAAGTAAGAGCATTGGAGGCAGAAGAAGATTGGGAGATTTTACCCCGTGCCTGGATTCTCAAACTCTTTTTTTTTAAAAATAATTTCTTAAATTTAGTTATTTTTCAAGTACAGTTTTCTGTTTATTTCTCCCATCCCAGCCCACCCCTCCCCCATGCTCCCCACCTCCCTCCCATTTCCACCCCCCTTAGTTCTTGTCCCTGTGTCCTTTATACTTGTTCCTCTAAATCCCTCCCATTTTTTCCCCTTAAATTCCCTTCCCTCTCCCCACTGGTCGCTGTCCCCCGTTCTCTATTTCAGTGTATTTGTTTTTATTTTGCTTGCTTGTCTATTTTGTTGTTTAGCTTCCTGTTAAAGGTGAGATCACATGGTATTTGTCTTTCAACATCTGGCCTATTTCACTCAGCATAATGCTTTCCAGTTCCATCCATGTTGTTGCAAAGGGTAGTAGTTCCTCCTTTCTCTCTGCTGCATAGAATTCCATTGTGTAAATGTACCACAATTTTTTGATCCATTCGTTTACTGACCAGCACCTAGGTTGCTTCCAGCTCTTGGCTATTGTAAATTGTGCTGCTATGAACATTGTGGTGCATAGGTTCTTTGAAATTGATGTTTTGGGATTCTTAGGATATGATCCTAGCAGTGGAATTGCTGGATCAAAAGGCAGGTCGATTTTTATTTTTCTGAGAATATTCCATACTGTTTTCCATAATGGTTGTACCAGTCTGCAATCCTTTCTCAAACTCTTTAAAGCTGGTAGAAAGTCCATTAGCGTTTGATCAAATGTGGATGAAATTCAAATGTTCTCTGGTCTCACCCCCCCCGCTCTCCCCACAAATTTGGAGCTCAGGAGTTAATTTCTCTCCATTTTGAATATATGTATTCAATCAAAATTTATGGATTCTTGAGGGTCTATGGCTCAGAAACCCAGACCAGCTGGTACCTAGTCTTTCTTCTTCTAATTCAAGTCATCAAACAGTTATGGACCCGTTATCGTCTCTCCCCAGCCAGGCACTGCCGGGCGCCAGGCACAAAGGCAAGGACCCGAGACCTCTGTTCTCAAGCTTTTCACAGCCCTGTTTTCTTGCTCACCTGGCCTATGTTTCTCTGTTAGCACCACCCCCCAAATGGGGGCATAAAGCATGCCATGGAATCACTGTGGCTCTAGTTAAAACAAAACAAAAACAAAGGTTTTATGAGGGAGAAGGTTAGAACTAACAGTTTAAATGGGGCCTTTGGATTATCTCTGGATCCCATTTATCCCGGCTCCTCTCCGCCCCCTTTCCTAGGATTACTGAGTGTTGATTCTAGTAACAAAGAACACATTCTGTGCTTGGATCTCCTCTTACTAAGACCTCATTTTCCCCTCCACCCAGTCCATTTCCTTTTCCTCCGCAGCTGTTGGCTTTATCCTGATTACTTGTTGAAGCTATCCTTTACATTTGTATTAACAACTGGTCACCTCTCTGTTCCCCTTGCCCAGCCCAACCACACTGAAATCAAGATTTTTTTTTACAAAGTCACCTTTTTCCTGTAAAACAAAACAAAAGCCCTCTTTAAACCTCAAATCTCATTTTCCTCATAAAATAGGAATATGCTAACACTGGAATGGATTCTGTAGAATTTCACCTGACGCCAAAGCAGTGAATTCCAAAAGCTAGAAACTTACCGTAATGTAACATTATACTGGGCCACGGCTGCGTCAAAGCCAAGAAACCCAGTCACTGATCAGGGGCAGGGGCAGGACAGTCTCTGAGGCCCCATAAGAACTCTTTTTATGCTTGAAAACTGTCCCCCCCACTTTTTCCTGCAGAGGTCCAGCTGGTACGGATTCCCTCAAGGGTTCCTGATTACTGCGTTGTTTAATTTTACGTGGAAAATTAGAGTCGGGAACTACTTAACATGCTCCCAAAGACAGCCTGGGCCACTGACAAATCAGAAAACCCTCCGGGCACCCGGCAAACTTTAACACTCTGTTTGGCAAGGTGCGCGTTCAGTCCCCTGTCACCAGGCTGCCTATGATGACCCCAATCATGGGCACTAACTAGCAACTGGAGCGTTAATAAAACAGAACCATGTCACCGAGAAAACAGAAGACAGGATGAGGGTGCGAATGAGGCACCACGAAGGGAACTACTTCTGAGAAATCGGGGGAAAGAGGTGTTACATAAGCACCTCAGTGCAGAAACATCCAAAATACTATCTGCCCCTTCAGAAATATGACTGCCTGCTTTTGCTGTTGGGGATGTTTTCAAGTATTAAAATGAAAAATTCTCAAACATCTTGAAAACTATGACTTACACAAGGGCATAGGTCAGGTGCAAAGTGTGTTTAAAGAGACCTATTTGAAATTTCACTTGTCACGGTAAGAAAAACTGCAGTAACTATTACGCTCATCCCAGAGCCTGGTTTCGGCTCAACCAGGGGCATCACCAGATGAGGGTCGCTACTTAGCCATTTGTTACTTAATTGAACCATATAACTTGAGAGTTGATCTATGCCCCGAGTCTACAGTAACTGCATTAGTAGAGCCATCAGCACCAAGACAGAAACAAAGGAGGGACACTCTAGAGCGCACCGCCAAACTCCTCGGGCAGCGGTCGTGGGCCCGCTCCTGAACCCCACCCTGTCTGACAGCCATTGCTCTACCTAGTGCTCCAGCGCCCTGCCGCTTCGGAGGGACCACTGGGGAGGCCTCTACTCCTACAGTTTGGGTATTGCTCTTGCTGTTTTTATTTTTACTTTTCTCCAACTTAAAAAAATTAATTTCAAACTTACTGAAAAGTTGAGGTAAAAGTACAATGAGCTCGCTGGCCAGGTGTTTTATGTCCTCTTTAACCTTTCCAAAGAAGCATGTCCAATGACCTCCGCACAGCCCAGCCCAGAACGGAGGGAGCCGAGTCCTCAGCACAGCGTTATAAAGTGGGTTATGAGACAAGTGCAGGTTCATTCAAACCTCAGGGCTTCCTATTCGAATTTCCCTGGGAAACTGACACCTCATTTCTTTCTCCCTGGGTCACTGCTCTCAACAACTGTGGCTGTCGCACTTCCCGCACCATCTATCTACCTGCGCTGAAAGCTGAGAGCACTTTTAATTAGAGGGAAAAATCAACAGAGAGATAGTATCTTATTTGTTCAATGTGTTCACTGACACAAAACCTAGGAACTCGGAGGGCTGTAATTCAGGAAGAAGATTCACTTTTCAGTTTGTGAACTGAACGCTTTACCTTGGCCTTTTGGTTCTTATGAGGTTAAAAAGGTTTACAGGAGGCTTATGATCGATGTCTGCCTCCAGGCGTCCAGCAGCACGTGGATGATGCATTTACAAAGTGAGCAGGGATGAGGACTCTGGAGACCTGGTCTCTAGAGCTTTGGGTCCAGACACTAACTAACTGCAATGACCTTGAAGGAAGGTCACTGCTCTAGTCTCCTCCGTGTAGGATGGGAGAATAATTCTGTTTGCCTGTGGCACAGGGCTGTTGGGAGGGCCACAGGAGGCAACGTGAGCTATGCTAAGTGGAAGGTGTTACTATTCAAGTTCAACAGTTTACCTGTCCGAAAGTCAAAGCTTTCAGGCTGGCTGAGGCCGTCTATGATGATCTGTAAGGTGTGTATTGTTGTTTGTAACCTTTCTGCAGTTTTCTCTATTCCTTCCTTTTCAACAAACGACTTTATTTTTTGCTGCATTTCAGGCTTTCCAATCTCACACAGTGTCCCTCCAACGAATGACAAAAACCTGCAGAGGGGAAAAAAGGCCAGCATGTTAATAATATTACTTGTTTTCTGATTTCCTTACACAGGTCGCCGGAACATTTGGTCATCTCAGTGTACCAGTTTCCATTTATTAGAAATCTGCTATGTGGCCCATGGTGTTACAGACAGACCACCTGGGGAAAACGGGGAGGAGATGGAGTTAGGCTCTTGTGCTATTTTCCGGGGAAGCCCCTGCTCAGAATCAGCATCAGATACATTTTACAGTATAATGTGCATTAGAGTTCAGTGTCATGTGTATTTCCTAAATAAGGACACCTATATTTACCTCATATTTCCTAACATTTCAGTAGGAAAACATATTTGAACCTAAATTACTTTATATCAACAATGAATTGATTATATAAAATTCCAGCAAGACACCCAACAAGCACCGCTGGTTTTGACAAACGAATCACTCTATTTTTTACCTTTGTAAAGTACCCAGGATGACCTGTGCAAGCACGCTACTGGCTTAACAATTCTCGAATTCCATCAACAGTAAAGCCTCACAGGGTCCAATTTAAATCAAATACATTAAGTACGTTCAGCAAAAGGCAGAAAAAATACAGCAGGGGATATCAAAAAGAAAAACTACATTTCTTCCGAAATGGAAGTGATGGAAGCAAGTAAGACTGCAATTATATAATCTTAGGATGAATATTATCTTTATAAACCTTATATATTATACGCCTGCAATATTTCCAAAATACAAGTATCTGCCTTTCCCAATTTCCCTTTGCTATGTTTATCACTTCCCTTGTTTGAACAGCTACCTCTCAATTACTTAGCTTTTGGAGTTCAGTAATAAGTTTATTAAGAAAAAAAACCAATGAAAGGGTTAAGATGTTTCTTCCTTCCATCTCATCCGAAGACTGGGCTGTAGCTCACTTTCTTGATATTCTTTGGCTGGGTATTTTTCTCCATCATTAAGGTTCGTTTCCTATGGTTAATGACACTTTAGAAATGTCAGCTCAGTCATCAGACAGGGACACCACCACCCTCCGATCCGTTGCTCTAAGGATGTCTCGGGAACACCGGAAGGGAAAGAGGGCGCTGGAAGCCACACACAGAGGCGGGATGCAGCCCTTCTGGCAGGTTGCCGCGCCATCGCAAAGGAGTGCCTGTGGCTCCCAGTCTTCCCTGCACGGCTGGGCTCCACTGGAAAGGGCCTCCTCGGTGACAGTCAACACTGATGATCTGGGGTCTGGGGAGGAAGCTCTCTCATCTTGCAGTTAACCATTGAGTCTCGTTGGGTTCGAATGTGCAACCCTCCTACACCTCCATAGCCATATTTTTGGTCAAAACAGATTCTCCAAAATCTAAATAATTCTCTTGAGAATGTATTTTGGTTAATGGTCTAATGAAAGACCAAGGAGTTGGTGCCTGGTCTCCTTCTTTGGAAAGGAGCTTCCACCCAAATTGGTGGCCAGTGGGATCCACACTATAAGCCTGTGGTCCATGGCCTCCCCAGCCCACCGCAGAGGCAGCCGTGTCCGTGAGTGCTGACGGATGGGCAGCAGCACACATGGGCCCCGGTGACAGGGAACAGCTGCCGAGGCTCTGACTGATGGGGCAGGTGGTAAGGACAGCCTCTGCCCACAGCCAACTTCCTCGCTCAGCTTTCTAAGTAATGGGCGCCCTGCTGAGCAGGCTCCCCTGGTATTTACCCTGCTGCCTTGATTGGTCTGCTACTGGCTATTTAGCAGAACATCTTTCAAATCCCCAAGACTCCGGCCCAGGTCAACTGCTAAAGTGCCAAAAAGGTGTATTCATGAGCTGTAAATCTATAACCTTGAATTGCATTTTATAACTGACAGAAGTAACTATACAGCAGAGACTTCCCAAAGCACTGTACACGTTTTGGTCTCAATAACACAAACACTGGCTCAAGAGGCTTAAGGCTGTGTGTGTAACTAACTGCTACCAATAGCACTTCTATACAAAGAATTCAGTTTAGAGTAGTTGCAGATGTAAAAAGAAGATTGGTCTGTTTAATCTGAATGCGTAATTCATGTATCATGTTCGTTCTCACACACACAAGACTGAGGGAACTGGTAAGTGCAATCAGTGGAAAAGGACCACATCGTGCCCTTAGCTAATGCTCCAGATTGATCAAACCTATTTTGAAATGACGATGGAACAAAGTCAACTTTCAACTGTGAAAGTTTCAACTGTGAAAACTTAAGTTCCAGCAGGGTGGCAGGAAAAGGAAAACAGCACACCAAAGGGGAGGGGCGCTGCAAAGTGAACTGGGCAGAGCACTCGGGCCACCTCTGCCTGGCTGGGCTTCAGACGCATTTCACTGCAAAGGATCATTTGTGCTCAGTAGCCGCTCAAACATGAGTTCTTTAAATAACCCCCCAAATCCATTCCACATATTCTGAATTTTCACCCTAGAACTGAGTGTGACAAGCAATATCCAATCCAAAGTTTCACTTTACAATCAAGTATAATAAGTAATATTCAATACAAAGTACTTTCAGGCTCAAAAGCATCGTATACAAACACACTGTACCTGCGGATGCCCACACGCAGAATGTAAGTGGATGTGTACTGAGAAGTCACTGCTGAGCGTCATGCTAGTGCTTGACAGATCCTCCCCTTCGGCCCCGACAACAACCCGAAAAGGCAGATATCATTTCATACAGACAAGGGACATCGAGGTTCAGGGAGGTTAAACAGCGTTCCCAAGGCCGCGCAGCTGTTTTCACTAACTGGAGTTTCGTGTACTACACATCAGTGCGTGCCTTTTTAACTGCTGTTGTGTCGGAAACTGAATCGCGATATTTAGTTAAGCTATAAATCATAATACTTTTGGTAACATTTCACCAGCACAATTTAATGGCAGACTGGTTTTAAACAATAGACAGTTAACACTGATAAATCCCACAAAGAGGTCATACAAATGCATTTCAATAGACAATTCGCTCAAAAGTCAGCGAGTCGTTAAAGTCATACTCTCATTTTCTCCTGTCTCTGGATGACTTTCTCAGTTTGCTAAGGACTCCTGTCTGAGCTGCTGTTTTTATTTAATACGCAATTTCACCCATCTTACTCAAAGTAAGAAGGCAGCATGAGTGCAACAAATGAGCACATCATGTCCCTTTAGCGTGCATCTGCACTAAGTTAGATACAGAACCTGCCGCAGAGACCATGCTTGTTTCTCACACGGAACGGTTTACAACCTGAAACTGCTGGTATCCTCCGCAGAAACTCCCTACGGAGGCACTCTGAGTCTTTGTAAGAATTTTTTCCTGAAAAATAAACCCTCGAAATTCATGAGAGTTCAGATATAGCCATTCGGTTTTACGTAATCATTTCCGGCATGGAGAAACAAATTTAGGAGCCAGCCCAGGACTTGGCTGTTTAAGAAACATGATACCCCACAGAGTGCAGAAGAACCATGGCGATGCAACGCCATCAACTTTAAAACCGACTAATGTAGCCTGTGTGTGTGGGCCAAACACAGGATTCATACCGCCACAAAGTCCATGCCATAAGGGCTAAGATCTCATTGTCGTCCACTCTTAACACTTTTAAAAGAGACTTTTGTATTTGTTTATTTTTATCCATCAGTTTTACTCAGCCATAAAGGAATTATATCAATAAACCAAACATTAAATTGCAAGAACAGCCCTGGCTGGTGCGGCTCAGTGGACTGAGTGCCGGCCTGAGAACCAAAGGATTGCTGGTTCGATTCCCAGTCTCAGGGCACACGCCTGGGTTGCAGGCCAGGTCCTCAGTTGAGGAGTGTCCGAGAGGCAGCCACACATTGATGTTTCTCTCCCTCTCTTTTTCTATCCCTTTTCCTCTCTAAAAATAAATAAATAAAACCTTTAAAAAAAGCTCCAACACCCCAATATTACTCAGCTTGATGACCTTCTTCCCACTGAGTCTGGCTGTTTTAAACTCACACACTACACATCCTCAAATGATAAAGATTTGCTGAAATCAAGGCTCTTCAAAGGAATGTGCCAAAATGCTGGAGCCAACTGAGCGTGCTTTAGAAAAGCAGACCCAGATTTCTTCATTAAGTATTCATGTGCGGAGGAGGGAGACCTGTGAGGACAGTAGGTTGGAATAATCTCCCACTTCCATCTGCTCTTTCAGAGGTGGGATTTCACACGCAGGTAAACACAGACTCTAAAAGATGATTTCGTTTCATTTTCCCAAAAACTTATTGTGACTGCAGATCTGCAGAGAAGAGAATCAAAATTCAGGTTGGGTGACCTGTCCAAAGCCACCCGGCTAAGACCCCAAGGCTGTACCTACGGTAAAAGTTGTCATCCATCACATCTTCATTAGCACTCCTCACCCCTTTACTTTGGGGGATTTTTCATGCACACAGAAAATTTAGATCCCAGATAAAAATTTGGCACCCAGGACCACTGCCTGGGAGCAATTTATTATTTTTAAAACCAAATTCAAAAGGAAAAAGTTTGGCTCTGTTTGAGTTACCAAAGAAGAGTTGGACCAAATTAAGTTAGTGGTTTCAAAGGCTGCAGACTCCCTAACAGCTCAAAAACACTGTTCAGAATTCACATAATTTAATTTACTGGCTATAAAGCCATAACGTGGATTAGTGCCTATGAACAGTTGAAAGAGCAAGGCAAATAAAAAAGGTGGAAGCCAGAAACACAGAGGCTAGTGATGGCAGAGCTGAAGCGAAACAGCTCCGACACTACCAGGGGACGCCGCCCACGAATCAGGGTGAAGGACTTTGTCCCCGGGAGACAGCTCTTGACTGTGGATCCCCTCCCCAAGGAAGCCGCCTTTCCCGAAACTGAGAAATGCCTAACATTTGCCATTTCCATAAATCCCCTGGTTGTCCTCTGAATGAGCAGAGTCGTTTTTATTCCAGTCGAAGAGTGTGCAGTTGAGGTCAAAGTAATTTGCTTATTTTCCGACACAGAGAGTCAGAAGACAGGCTAAGACTAAAATCCATAGCCGGGCTGCGGACAGGAAGGAGGGAGAGAAAAGGGA